TTTTTTTTTTTTTTTTTTTTTTGAAAAGTTAAGGATAGTTAGCATTCTAGATTAGCTTAAGATCTATTGAAAATGATAATATTAAACTTGGACGTTGAAAGTATATGAACAAAAATAAACGAATCTCGTACGCATAAACCAAAATGATAATGGTGTACAGATCTCTAGACTTCACATTGGCCCTATTGGAGAAGATAGCAAGTAACGAAGCAGGGATGAACATGGAACGAGCAGTTGAGGAATCCTACAACCAAACTTTGAAGCCATGGCATGGTTGGATTTCATCCGCTGCTTACAAGGTAAACAATTACTTTTATACCTTTCACTTTGTGATAGCCTAAGCTCACCGTTAATAGATATTGTCCATTTCGAGCTTCCACTCAAGGTTTTTAAAATGCGTTTAGTAGGGAGAGGTTTCAACACTCTTTTAAAGGGTGTTTCGTTCTCTTCCCCAGCCGATATGGAATCTCACACTTTTAACCTTGTGTATACAAAGTTGCATAAACAAAGATCTAAATGGGTTTGGTTGATGCAGATAGCTCTAAAACTAGTGCCTGATACACCAACCTTCATCAACATAATCATGGAAGATCACCATAACTACCACACCCTCCTCCATGACATCCACATTTTGATTCCTTTGCTCTCAACTTTTGTCGAACAAGCTCACTCCATTCTGGTATGATAATGATCTTACAATTTTTGGATTTTTTAAAATCTTCGACTTTTAAAAGTGTTTAATATGTTAAATGTATGCAGAGATTGTATAACTTGAATCGGATTAAGTCGAAATAGCCACTGAAGACAAGAGGAGATCAAAGTCGAGTGTTGTCTTTGTAAATTATATTTCATTTATTTGTATTCCAATCTTTTACTTGTTTCATCTTTGGAGAACCCATATCAGAACGGTTCATTGTGTTCTTGCATTCGTTATTTTCCATGCTTTAATGATCTTGTTGAATGTCGTCTTGTGTTCATGGCAACCATTGCTGATGGACTAGCCGACCATTTAAAGTAGATTTAGTCCATTTTTGTTGTTTGTCACACCGTTGCAATGTAGCCTCTCCTCCTCCCCGTTCTCTTTCTACCGATCGTCGACCTTCAACGTTTCCTCCCTTTGTGTTCGTCCCAACATCGTCTTACATAGTTCTCACACACGCACATCATTGTACGCTATCGCACCTCCCTTCCCTTTCCTCTCCTTTGTAGGTTTTGATCCTCGATCAAAGAACACCAAAACGAATAACTGAAGCAAAAAGAAACACATTAACTTGTGGGGAGAAATTTTTTGTTCTAATGTACTTTGAGTACTATGCTTTTCAATTTTTGTTGTGTGTATAAAGTGTACATCTGATGACTATTTATTGGGAGAAAATACTGAACAACTTCTGTGAACTTGCTTCACAAGTTACTCATTCATACAAAAAGGTTAAGTCAAGTATAAGTCAAGTTTATTGACTAACCTCCCCTATAACGACCTTAAATTTTACCTATTTAATCTAAGGTTATTACTATACGCGAAATTTACATTAAATGGGCTCTTATCATAAATGCAACTTATATTGACCTTTTATTACCTCGTGAAAAAAAAAAACGAATACAAGGGAGAGAAAGGAAAAAGAACAATTTTAAAATAATTGTCTTGTACTACTCTATGGTTTATTATGCGATAACAATTCAACTTATACTAACCTATACTAATGATGCAAACCAAATTCAACCTATACTAGCCTATACTACGAAATGGAAAACAACTACCCTATGTATGTGCCACGGTCCCAGGGTATACGATGCTGCCGTCGATCTCACATGGGTGCCTTGCCCTTATCTGAAAAAGTAAAGTAGCACGAGGCTTGAGTATTTCTAGAATGCTCAGTAAGTGACCCCCCATCGGGGTTATGCAACAGTCACATGAATGAGATGATGGGATCTATCTTTCATTCCATTTTCCCTACGGTGCTGTCCTAACGAGTAATTTTGGACGTGTACCATATACTCTACACACAGCCCATACATGCGAGTATGGACTCACTAGCTAGTTCGCACACCGCTGGGCCACTTTCCTTCTCTGGTGGGCATACTCTGGGAGCTCCTTAGGCCGGACACCTGCTAGAACTAGTAACCGTCACGGTAGCGCTATGCAAAGCATAACGATCGTTGTCCTGCCATTGGATGTACGCGTCCGTACCCTCGTGATGGAATAGGGGTATCCCCCCAAATGCATGAGCACACATAATGCATGAGGTCCCCATTACTTCTACATTAGTCATTAATGAATATAACCCCACTGTCATGTTTCATGCTTACATGTCATTTCTCATTTTCAGTTTACGTATCATACATATTTCTATCGGGGTTATATCATACATTTCATGCTGTTTACATTCAAATATTTCACACAATCATGCCATAATCATTGAAGAACATCATAAACGTCATGAGCACTACATATCACATCAGACTAAACAGCATACATTCACATTCACATGATTACGTACTTAAGCATAACAGTCTAGCATACAACTTAATGACACGTGCGAATCCATGGGCACGTGCCAACATACAAAAAATAACGCGTAACCTACGACGGGTGAGCCACTTACTTGGTAGGCCTTAGCCGAAGTACTCCCTAAAATATAAACGTAAGCTCCTAGCTCCTCGTAAACGTCCTACGCTTCCGTTGGTGATTGGTTCCTATTGGATCATTCGACATCTTCGTTAGTATTTCACAAACATAAGTAATTTCCAACTTAAATTGGTGAAATACGACCTTAGAATGATCTATTTTACCTTAAACAGGGTCAAAACTAACTCCGGGAGGGTTGGAACGATGACAAACGGGTCAGAAACAGGTTTTCCGAGCCGATTAAGCCACCAAAACTGAGGGGTGTCGTGCTGCAGACGTGCCATGTGGCACAACCAAAGGTCGACATGTGTGCAGCGGTCTCGAGTTGAGGCGCGGGTTGTCGGGTTACACGCGGGTTTTCGATTGTGATCACGGGCCTGGGTTGACCGCGGGTGATGGGCCGGCTCGGACTGAAGGGAAGAAATGTGTAGGTGCGCTGGGCTGTGAGCGTCGGGTGTTGGACTGGGCTTGCGGGTCTCGGGTCGGTTGGGTTTTTTCTCTCGGGTCGTGGCTGATGGGTTAGGCTGTAACTGGCTTTCTGGTTTGGGCTGAGGCGACTGGGCCGCGGGAGTCGTCGGGTGTTAGACTAGGCTTGTGGTGGTTGGACTCGGTTCAAGTCGCGGGAGTCCGACCCTCGGGTCGGACTTCATCTTCTTCGCCCGGTTGCACGCGTTTTTTCGGTGATCTCTCTCTCTCCTCGGTAACGGTGTACAACGTGTAGGACTCGTCTAAATCTACCCCTAATGATATGAACCAAGAGACATCAATCATACAATATACTTCAATGAAGATGTGAAGAAAAGGTTGTCAAAATTATCAAAAGATGTTTCAATTCATGCTACATTGAAGAAGAATAAAGTTTTGTTGTAAATTTTGGGTGGGTTACAATTTAGAGTTATTGTATTTTAAGATATTTTATTTACTTTAGGTTACATTTACATAATGGCTAATTATGGTCATTAAGTATGAATGTTACAACTCTTGGAATGCTTTTAATAGTTTCATTTTGAGGTTAATATAAAGCCATGTATGTTGTATTTGTAAGGTAGACTTGGAAAATATATATAAAAGAAGCATTTGTGCTTTCTTTAGCCAATGACTAAGTTTCTTTGCAATTCTATGTAGTTTAGGTTGCATGTAGAATCATTCAAACTTGACATGATCAATCTTGCTTGTGGAGTGATTCGAATCTCAAACAAGTGTTCTTGCGTTGAGATATTTGATCAACAAGAATCATTCAAGCTAGATATGATCGATCTTGCTTGTGGAGTGATTCGAGTCTCAAACAAGTGTTCTTGCCTTGAGATATTCGATCAACAAGGTAATCCGAATCTTATTCCCCTTGTATTATTTCCTTATCTTATCACCTGATGTGTGTAAAAGGCTCTAGGATTACTTTTGTCACGTAAAATGGAGGTTTTGACGTCTATTTCGTAGGGTTTGGCCTTGCCGGAGCTTTGTCGGATTTTCTCTATCTTTCTCATTTTCATTTTTTTTTCTTCTCTGCAGGTGTCTTGGGGGTGGCTAAAGGTCGGGATTGGGTTTCCGTGGTGACCCAGATGTCGGGCGCCTTTGTGGGTGTGTGCGAACGAAAACTCCGACGTTCGTCGTAGTTTTCGGTCCTGCTGACGACTTCCGTTTTTTTTTTTTTTATCTGATTCGTTACATCCCCCGTAAGCTTGACCTTGCTCGAGATTCTTCACTCTGAGCAACTCCTGCATCTATACAAATTTAACCTTTACTTTGTGCTTGATGATGTCCCCTTCGCTATTCATTTAGCTTAACTACCCACTTCAAATTGATGGACTTGTGATCGAATGGTAAGTCGGTGAGTGCCCATGTCTTGTTCTTCTGGATGACTTCAAGCTTGTTTTGCATGACCTCCTGCCTCACCATCTTAGTTGGTACCTCATGATAAGTTGTCGGCTTTGGGCAGCGAGCAACACTACTTCGTCGGGATCCAACTCTTCTTCAAGAGTATTTACATAAATTTTAGTGAAAGAACGAAATTTCTTTGGCTTACTATCCGTTGTGGATCCTCTACTCTCACTTGAGCTCCCTTGTTTTAGAGAACTCATCATGCATTTTCGGTGTCATTAGTGATGGCATGTGTGGATTTGTTGGTGTCGATGTCGTTGCAATTTCTAGGTCTATTGCATCTCCCTTGTCTTCTAGAGCTATGAACTCTGTAATAGTCTGTTTATTCTTGTCAACATTGCACTAATCCCACTTCTTTAAACAAGACATCTTTGCTAACATGAACTTTTGCGTCTAGGATCGCACAGTCTGTGCTCTTTGGTCTTGTTAAGGATATTTAGTATTGAATTATAGTTTATTATATCTATTATATTTTATATTTTATTACTGGCAAATATATAGATATTTGTATTCTATTATGGTTTATCGTAGTTATCATATGTTAGATAAAACCTGATTTTTTCCTTATTTAGATTCACATGATTTTCTTAGTTGATTGAATACCTCCGTTTGACCATTTGATAAACACGTCTAATGGATTACTAAAGTTTTATACAGGAATTTTGTAGGAAGTGGCATAGATTTAGTTGGTCACTCTCCAGCCATTTTTAGGATAAGTTATATTTAAATAAGAAATGTGTTCAGAAGATTTCACAACCTGATTTTAAACACAGTCAAAATTTCAGCAATTCTCTCTCCTTATTATTTTAGGCGTTTTATTTTCTTCCAACAACTTCCCGTCAACAATTTCCTCTCACCGAAAATCCTCTCACCGAAAAGAAAAGGATTTCCCTGGCCGATTATCGAAAAACAACAAGTGGTATTAGAGCCCGGTTGAAGCCATCGATGGTATATCATTGCGGAGGAGCTAACCTATCAACAATCAAGTTGAATAGCTCAAGTGGTTAGAGCGTCGACCTAACAACACACAGGTCTCAGGTCTCGAGCAGGATCGCTCACTCCTCCACGCCGTCGCCAAGTGCCGGCATCTCCATCACCACCACGAAGAGGCCGACGCCGTGATGACGGGCGTCGAGTTGTCGTTGAGCGAGTGATCAGGGAAACAACGACAGTGAGTGTGGGAATCCAACATCGAGCAGCTGCGAAAGGAGCTCTCGAAGATCCGCTTTAAGGACGGTGAATCCGTCGATGATTTTTCAATGCGGGTCACGGGGCTCGCCAACAGCATCACTACTCTCGGTGGCAGCATCAACGAGACAGAAAATGCAGGTCGTCCCCGATCACCTTGAGCAAGTTGCAATTTCAATCAAGGCATTGCTTGACGTGAACGACCTAACGGTGGAAGAGGTGACCGGAAGACTGCGTAACGTCAAGCAGCGGAAGAAAAATACCGTTTCAGCTGTCGACAAGGAGGGTTGTCTACTCCTCACTGAGGAGGAATGGCTTGCACGCCTAAAGCTCCATGATGGCACCGGTGAGAGCAATGAGCCCTCCAGCCGCAAAGGCGGTAAGAAGCCATGAAAATCTCGCCGGCACATGCGTGGGAAAGAGGCGGATCAAAAGAAGGAGGAGTCGACTGATGACGG